AAAAAAAAAAAAAACGCAACACCATCAATAGATCAAAACCGAACCTCATTATTCTGTCTTTTCGAGCCTCAGTCCTGACCACTCCACGTAGGCTCGGACAACCGTTTGCACCCCGAGCCTCTCCTTATTAAACAAATAATAAAAAACCCCAATTAAAATACAGATTTCCCTTTCTTGTTCCTACTGCACACACACAAACACACAGTACAATACAGAGGAAAAAACCAGCAAGAACCCAATAAACCCATTAAACCCAATAAAACAACAATCTCAAAACCCCTCAATTCTTGAATCTCTAATCGAGCTTCTCTCTCGCCATTAAATTCTTCCCACGAAAAAAGAAAATCACAGACGCCCATTTTGATTTTTTTTCTGCCATTTTAGGTAGCTTTGATACAGAGTTGGAGTTTCTTTTAGAGCAGTTTGAAAGCAAATGGGGTCTCCTCGTTGGCTCACGTTTTTGGCCCATTTGATTTTTCTGCAACAATTCCGTTTCTCGGCGCGTGCGCTGTTGAACCCCGTCGATTTTCTGGCGCTGCAATCGATTAGACGGGGCCTGAGCGATTTACCCGGGTCGGGCTATTTCTCCACCTGGGATTTCACGGCGGAGCCCTGCGATTTCTCCGGCGTCTACTGTGACGGAGACAGGGTGATCGCCCTCAACCTCGGCGACCCACGGGCGGGATCCCCGGGGCTGACGGGACGGATCGACCCGGCCGTCGGCAAACTCTCTGCTCTGGCGGAGCTGACTATCGTCCCCGGGAGGGTCACGGGTCCCCTGCCCGAAACCATTTCCCAGCTCAAGCTCTTGAGGTTTCTCGCCGTCAGCCGGAACTTCATCTCCGGCGAGATCCCTTCCGGTTTGGGCGAGCTTCGAGGGCTTCAAACGCTCGATTTGAGCTTCAACCAGCTCACCGGCGCCATCCCGATTTCCGTCGGAAGTTTGCCGGCGCTATCCAACGTCGTTCTCAGCCACAACCACCTCACCGGCCCGGTCCCGCCGTTTGCTTCGCAAAGCCTGACCCGACTCG